GGTGGACTTCGAATGAATTCTATAAATAGTTTGTATAATGAAAATAATGATGTATTGTAAAGTTATAGGCCATAAATAAAAATGGAAAGCCTCACCTTCATGAATTATTGGAGTCATGTTCTTGTCATATTTACAACCTCACCTTTATGTTTGGTAGGTCTAAGAGAACCAAGCAAAAGAGGAGACTATAATTCTTGGAAGTCATCAATCTCCTCATCACCACCACCACTAGCGTAGCTACAACCATCATCATCATCACTATCATTATAATTGTCATCGTCATCAAATTGTTTCTATATCACTATCATTCTGCTTGTATTATAGGCTTTTGAGAAAGCAAAAGAACTAGTCGTAGAGCAATTTTAAGTGAACTTTATGTAATATTGTTAATGCATCAAGTTTCTTTTAAGTTGTTCCTTTTTCTTTTTTGACTTTCACGTGGATTAAATTATAGAAGTTAATATTTTATTAGGATAAAAAAACCTAAAAATTTGGTCTATCCCCCCCAACTACTTTTATTAAAGGTGTTGGTAGAAATAGGGGGAATTTCCTTTGAAAACTAAGCATAGAGACAAATGGCGATGGCAAGATGAACTGGGACAAGAATAGAGACCCAAAATCAATAAGCTAATAGGAACACTAACACAATTTACACAATTTTTGTTAACAGTCTTCCAAACAAGATATTGAGACCTTGGCTAATGAAAATCGGCAACCAACTTGGTGTGGTAATGGACGCTTTTAATCCTAAAAGGAGGCCAACAGATGGCAAGGTCTCCATTTTCTATGGTTTAGCCAATTCAATTTTCTACCTTTCAACGACAAACTAACAATGAAAGAAGCAATGGAGAAATTGGATAGAGTATGGTTATTTGGCCAAAGGTTGGTAGTTAACTTTGCCAAACATAAGCCTAGATCTTCCTTTTCGTAGAAAAAGGGTAAACAAGTTCAAGAACAAGAAGACATGGGTAAAGACCCTATACCAGAAGGAATTGAAGAACAGAGGCAAGGTATAACTTTTTGGAAGTCTTGACTAGGAATATGGGAGATGATGATGTTGTTGGGTGGATTAAGAAGTCACCTAAAAAGTATAGGGAGGTTGTTTGGGAATGTGTTTGCCAAGTAAATGAGGAAATTCTTAATTGGCTTGAAGGGTCTATAATAGGGGTATGTAGGGCTTTAAACAACTCGGATTCCACCATGACAACATTGAGATTAGAGAAGGTCCATGAAGTTAAGATATAAAGGTTGTCTAGTGACAAATATATATATATATACTAGGTTGTCTAGTGACAAATATATATATATACTATCTTTCAACAATAAATAAGTGTTAATCAAGTACAAGAAAGTGCTAAGAACGACATGATTAGCGCAACAATGCAGAGAATTAACAAAATTTAAAACAAAATAAAAATCACGCCTACTACCTTTGGATCACCTTGGTTGTTTAATGCAGGCTAAACACCATAAAAAATCAAAAAATAGTTTTTACCTTTCCAAATGATATCGTAATCAAATGGATTTCATTTGGCACTAAAAAATGTGAACACCTTCTTCTGTAAAAAAATCTCAGCCACTCAAACGCTTGGCCTCCAATGCTACATGCATGATTGCAAAAAATCCTTTTTAAGGAGAAAGCTTTATGCCATAGGCTTGTGCTAGCAAGTAGACAACGATTTGTCCTCTTTTCTTCTTTGATTTTCAACAAAAAATCAATTGAAAAGGTTTCTAAAAAACCCCTCTGAAGAGTGGCAGCACTCAAGAGGAAAACAATTAGTTTTCTTTCTTTCTTTTGTTGCCTTAAAAAAGAATGGCTATAATGTGATATATAAATCTAGGTCTAATTTTATTATTAGATTTATTAAAATTTGCAATATAAGTCTTTAATATTATAACAATTATAATATTTAACTAATGCCCAATTAAATTCTTGTAATTAGGTCCTTGATAGTTAAAACCTAAAATTTGATTTAGGTTTACCTTAAAACATCACACTCTCAATTTAATCCAAATTGCAACCTTTGTG